AACAGTTTCTAATGAAAATGAAAATGTTTGTGGCGAGCGACTGAGCGGAAGACTAACGCTCAAGGAACACGTCATTTACTGCTACGAGTGCGACCGAAGGGAACTAACTTGAATCGGCTCATCGGGGTTTTCACAAGTGATTTACCAAGAAACACTTGTGAAAATCTCATTCAAGCTCGATTCTAGTAAGAATCCCAAAATCGTCCAAGTCTACGCTCCCACCAATGCTAGCGAAGACGATCAGGTGGAACAGTTCTGCGTTGTTCACGCAAGTGATTTACTTGAGGAGAGAATGCTGTTTTGTTGTTGCACACTAACTTTGATGTTGCTCGTTGCCGGCCATTGTCCAGCATTCATCCAGTGCTCCGGGTGAATACAGCTCCAGCTCGATGTTGGTCTATGTATCTGGGCTCACCGGTCACCGGGCCCAGGCCGCGTCACAGCACGATGTATTGCGGGAGAGATGGGCAGCAGACTGCATGCAACGCGGGCCGGATCCAGAAGTTGATGGCAAGGAAGATGGAGCTCCGCCTCAACCATCCAAATGCCAGCCATCCGAACGGCAACCACCAGCGCCACGACCACCCACAGCGGCCTCCCACAGTGCCGCCAGCACCGCTTCCATATAAAACGCGCCTATAAGCACTCCTCATACGCGCAACTTCCAGGACTTTTTGATGGATGCGGGAAAATCATCGAACTGTCCGCTGCGGCGCACCACGGAAGCGAAACTCCTGAAACTCATGCCGAGAATCTAGCGAATAACGCGCATTCCTACTTAAAGAGCAGAATGGGGCAGCTGATCGGAGAAGAGATGCGTGCTTGCAAACATCGCGGTACAGAGAGCTGAGATGCATGTGGGTGCAAGAATGTGGGATGCAATAATGCGATTACACAAGAATTCGGGATGCAAGAATGCGTGCATGCATGCAAGAGAAAGGAATAGCCAAGAATAACCATTCACTGATTTTGTTAATTACATCTTCATCTTTTAGACTCATTCACGCAAACGTCTCAAGTTCGCGTATCGCTGCAGCTGTCAACAAAAGAAGAGACTGCGAGCAGCTTCAATGGTGCAAAGGAGCATTGCCGTGAAA